ATTCCTATTTTAATTTTTTCTGAAAAATCTTTTATGGTTAATAAGAAATCTGGATTACAATATATAATTCCATTATTATCATTCATATCAACTTCTGTACTAGCTATCATACTCTTTTCTATATTTTGGATTCTTTCATCATAAATAGTTAATAAAACTTTATTTCCTAAATTTTTTCTCATTAATCCTTTAATTCCTATTACTATTAATCCTAGATGTATAAATCTAAAATTCTTTTTTAAATTCTTCTGATATTAATGATAATTGTTTTACTTGACCATCTAAACATTGAATTGATACTTCTCTAGTATGTCTAAAAAATTGGGTTCTTGATTCAAAAATTCCTCTATTATATAAATTTTCTGGATTAAGTAATTGTAAACCATGAGTTTGGAATCTATTATAATTTTGTTCAGGATCCATAAGTTCTTCAATATTCTGATTATATTGAGGCTGTCTATGTAAAATTTTTTCTATTATATTAGTACTTATGTTAGAAGTACTATGTCTACCTCTATCATAAGGTTCTGAAGATGATCCTACTTCTCTAATAGTTCTTGATCTACCAGGAAAATTATTCATATTTTATAAAATGTTGTAGATAATTTTCTAGTTATTTTTTCTTTACCTGTATTTTTTAAACTTAATTTATCTAGATTATTTATTATATTTTCAATTTCTTGATTTGGTTTATTTTCTATATTGTTTAATTTTTTATTTATATTTTCTATTGCTTCTGTAGTCTTAAGATCTAGAAATTTTTCTTTATCTTCTACTCTAGAGATTTTATTTAAAATTGTTGAATTTTGTTCTTTAATAAAATCTAGGTTTTCACAAATTTTATTAATATCTTTCTCAATATTAAAGATTTTTTTTCATAAAGTACTAAGTTCTCCTATTTTCTTTTTCTTTGTAGTACTTTGTTTAACTTGTTGCTGTATTTCTTCAATCTTATCAAACATTTCTTTGATTCTTCTAATATCTGATTGAGAAATCTGTCCTGGATCTTGAGCTGATTGAAATGATTCCGGAAAATTGATTGGGCTTTTCTGTTTAAGGTCTATTGGACTTATAAGTCTAGTAGCAGAATTTCCAGTCTGCTGTGTCTGGTCTTCAGAAATATTTTTATTTTTTGTAACAGAATTTTCGGCCTGTTGAGTAAGAGAATCAATAGTCTCCTGAGTCTGTTGAGCTTTTGGTAAGCCTAGAACCATAAACGGATTTGATAAGTCTTTACCAGCTTCCGTTTGAGCTGGACTAGCTATAGACTTCTTTGGTTCTATAGTACCTGATTGTGTCTGAACAATTGGATTTGAAATCTTTAAATTAATAATTTCTTGTTCTAATTCAGAAATTTTCTTTTGTAAAACTAATTTTTCTTGTTATAAAGACTGATTGGACTCATTTAAAATTTTAAAATTTTTAGTCATACATTCACAATGTTCACAAAATTTAGAAGCATAATCTAAGGGCTGATCTGAAACATTCTTTAAAGAAGGGGCAACAAAATAATTAATACTTCTGAAATTGAATAAAATCCTTTATATATATATATATTTGATTATAACATTGTGAACGATAAAATTTTGGACATAAATGTTACACGCGCAAAGACGGATATTAATAAGCGCAATTAAAAATGTGATACCATGGGTTAAAGCTGGGTGCAATTATAACTACCAGTAATTTAAGGATAATTAGCGCATAACATCTTTATCTTTCACAATTATTATGAAAAATGTCTGTATCTGTTATTTTTTGACATTTCCACTCATATTTCCAGATTTCATTGTTCAAAAGGTCATTTTCATCTATTTTCTCAATTAAAGCTGTGAAATAACTAATGCACCTTTGTACTTAAATAAAAGAAAAAGAAATAACTAATTGTAACTATAGTCTCAAAATTTAAAAAAAGAAATGCAAATGAGTCCCAAAAAAATCATTAAAAGTGTAATTAACACATAATGTCCCTACTTTTTACTATTATTGTGAAAAAGTTGTCACCTTTTTTTTGACATTTTCACTCTTAATTACACCTTTATTTGCGCAAAATGTCATTTTTATCTATTTTTCTCCAATTTTTCAATAAAAAGGTGAAATAACGAATATACTCTCTTATTATAATAAAATATTAAAGAATTTTTTTATTTCTAATTTTTAATAATCGTTTGCACTTTTTGAAGTACAAACGATTCACAAATAAATTATTAAAAATTAGAAATTAAGAAAATATAAAAAAGTGTTATTTGAAACAAAAAAAGGGCTGACGAGCTACAACGCGAATGAGTAGGTTGGGATTTTGGTGGCAGAGGACTGGGCCTAGGGGTTTTAATAGGATGGGTGAAGAAGGAAAGTATTGAGGGTTAAAGACCATAGTTCTATTAATTCGAAATCAATCAATTAAAAAGAACAAATGAACACTTAAAAATACGCAAAATTTATTGAGATTTGCCTAAATGCAAGAACAAAATTCTTTTTCGTCGCTTTATTAATTCATTTTAATAAAAAGAAGTTTACAGGAGAGCATCACACACTTAATTTCTCTAAAATCTCTTACTTTTTTAGTGATAATAATGTAAAAGTCTAATGACGACTTCCTTTTTAAAGATAAATTAGAGCAAAATTGAAATTTATAAGGATAAATTCTTAAAAATATTATTTAAATATTATTTATTTAATTTTCTTAACCTTTTTTGTTTAATTTATTATATATTTTTTAAAATTGTTTTAAAATTTCTTTTTCATTCACATTATGAATAATTTTTTTTTTCAATTTAAAATTCTTTTCATTTTATGATATAAATAATTTTTTTTTGTTTAAGCTTTATCAATGTTTATATAAACCTCTATTTACCTTATCCAGTGTACTTCTACTGAAGTTTCATTTTTCATTGAATTTACAGTAAAAACGATATCGTTTCCCTATGTTGAATGACAAAACGACGGTATTTTATTCCATTAATATGATAAAGTGATTGAATATATCTTATATATAATTATAGAAAAATATTAATAATTTAATTAATAATAATCAAATCTTGATCAATGTATGTTCTATTCACTCATTACCTTAATATTTGAGATGATTTTTTTTTTTGAAAATAGAAAAAAATTAGTTAATGACTAAAAACGAGAATCTTAATTTTAAGAATTATCCTTCTTAACTACATGTAGATGATATTTCATCCTACAAAAATTTCAATGTTAGAACATTGAATAAGAGATAATGGAATAAAACATAATTTCAAAAAATTAAGTGAACCAAATTCTACCTATCATTTTACACCAATATACTAATATAAAAATAAATGATTTAACAAATTAAAGAACAAAAAAAAAAAAGAATTGCAGGCAAAAAAAATATTTTTATAAAGTTTTTTATTTAAATTAAAATTAAAAATAAATATTATTTAATTAAAATTGGAAAAAACTACATTTTATCATAAAACAAAAAGAATTAAAAAAATTTTAAATCGAACAAAAAACTATTTATAATACGAAGAAAAAGTAATTTTAAAACAATTTAAAAAAATATATAGCCCTTGTTTGATTTCCATTTTGGAGGAAATAATGCATTTTGAATAGTAGATTTATGAAGAATATGTGGTTAAAAATTAAAGAAAAAATTTAGATTTACGTATAATATTATTTTATTGAAGAATATGTAGTTGAAAATGAGTGTTGAAAAAATAAATTTTTGGAAGAATTGGAATCAAACAAGGACTTAATAAGAACAAAACAAATTAAACAAAAGAAAGTTACGAAATTTAATTAAAGAATATATAAATATTATTTAATTAAAATTGAAAAAAATTAAGTTTTATTATAAAGAGAAAAGGATTAAAAAAAATTTTAAATCGACAAAAATATTTATAATATAAACAAAACAAATAAAAGAAACAAAAAAACAAAATAAAAATAAAAATGAGAGAACCTCTCCGTGTTTTGGAGATCTCCATGCTATGGAGATTCTCTCAATCTCCTCAATAGCACGGAGAGAAGAATCTATTTTTTTTAAACTTGTTTTGTTCATAATATAATATTTTTTCAGTTTAAAATCTTTTTAATTTTTTTCTCTTTATGATAAAATTTACTTTTTTTAATTTTAGTTAAATATTATTTGTATATTATTTATTTATTTTTTGTAACTTTCTTTTGTTTAATTATTATATTTTTTTGAAAATTGTTTTAAAATTTCTTTTTCCTTCATATTATAAATAATTTTTTGTTCGATTTAACATTCTTTTCATTTTATGATATAAATAATTCTTTTTTAGTTCAATCTTTATCAATGTCTATTTAAACCTATATTTACCTTGTCCAACATACTTCTATTGAAGTAACTACAATGACAAAGCTCGACTAATTATCATCATATCATTTTTACGCTATTATATACTCAATTACAGCATTTCACGTGCATCTTACTAGTATTTTTTTTTAAAAGAAGAAGGAAAGAACACGAGAGAGTCCCATAAAACATTTGCCTAGGGGAATCCAGTTGAATAGAATGAAAAGCAAAGATAAAAATTTCAAGATGTGATTGAACTTGAACGAACGAATAATTAAAGAATAATTGTCATTCAAAAAGTATCAAAATTAAGGGCTAGTTTTATAGTGATTGTGAGAATTGATTTTTTGACTGTTAGAGAAAAAAGTAAGTCCCACTTATGAGTGGAGAAATAAAAAATGACGGCTGGATTAATGAAATAACGGTAAAAAAATCAATTTTTTGAAGGTAAAAAATTATTACCGAATCGGGGTTAAAAGTGTTTAATGTCAAAAGTTAAAAAACGAGAACCTCGTTTGCACGATCTCTATAGATTGAAAACATTTAATGCAATTTTGTGCTAAAATATTTGAATTTGTATTGGGTCCAAAGATGAGTATGACTTCTCTCCAAAGATTTGCTCTAAAAATTCAAACACTGACTGGCCACCAAAACATCACATGCTCTCTCTCTCTAAATTTGAATTTTCTTTCTATTTTTTTTTTTATAATTTTTTCTAATAAAAGATGCCTTTGCCGTCACTCACTTCCCCACACGCAGAGAAGCTTCAACCAAAATTAAAAAAATAAAAAACAAATAAATCCCCCATTTACAACCTACGGCTCAATACCCCCAGCGCACGTTAGCACCCACACCTATCTGTCGGCAATTATCGCCTTCCGATCACCACCACCGGCCGACGTCCTAGACGACCTCATATAGTATATAGCCTGTTTCCCAATTCATCCCATTTCTCAAGTACCCAATTGGGAATTTTAGTCTATGCATACAGATATATACATATAGAGCCAAATTATTACATTACTGTTGTAATAAGGGTTTTAAATTAGTTATTATTAGGATGAGGTAAGGAGGATTTGAAGATGGTTAGGTTACTGGGATTAAGGGGTTTCGGTGAATGGGCTGAGTCTCCTAGGGAGGTGACTCGGACGATTCCGACGAGCGAAAGCATCGGGGAGAGCGGGTGGCTTATGCGATTCTTTGACTCGGCTTTCTTCTGCGAGTGGATTGCTGTCAGCTACCTCTACAAGCATGATCACCCTGGGGTCCGTGACTACCTGTGCAACCGTATGTACACTCTCCCTCTATCTGGTATCGAAAGCTACTTATTCCAAATATGCTATATGTTAATCCACAAGCCGAGCCCTTCTCTTGATAAATTTGTAATAGATGTTTGCGCCAAGTCTCTTAAAATTGCCTTGAAAGTCCACTGGTTTTTAATGGCGGAGTTGGAGGATGTGGATGATAATGAAGGGATTGGTAGAATTCAGGAGAAGTGTCAGTTTGCTGCCACTTTAATGGGTGAGTGGCCGCTTTTAATTAAGCCACAGATAGAAAGTACTAGTTTTATGTCATTTTCATCAAATAATAATACTTATAGTGGCAGTGTTAGTCCGACAGGGAAGAATCAGGTATTGAACAGGTTGTTATCATCGAAGCAGAAGTTGTTGTCATTGACATTGTCACCCCCTAGCAACGCGATGGTGCCAAGGTCCCTGTCGGTTTCGCCTTCATCAGGGAACTTGACAACCCAGGATGATAGTGAGAAGGTTGTAGGGTCGCCAGAGGAGAATAATAAGATTTTTAAAAAATTCCTACCAGGGATGAAGGTCCGTGATGCATTGTTTAGGAAATCAGTGGAGAAGGACTTGGAGGAGTCCGACAAGGAAGGTGGATTCTTCAAGAGACTTTTAAGGGATACTAGGGACGAGAATGTTAGAAGGTCAGTAGATAAGGATAAAGAGAATGATGAGGAACCGGATAAGGATGTTGGGTTTCTCAAGAGGTTGTTGAGGGATAGTAGAGATGAGGATACTAGAAACTCATTGGACAGGGAAAAAGAAGAGGAGGAGCAAGAAAAGAGCAGTGGGTTTTTTAAGAGGTTGTTGAGTAGTAATCGAGATGAGGATGTAAGGAAGTCAATGGATAAGTACGAAGATGAGTCAGAGAAGGATGGGTTCTTTCGAAGGCTCGTGAGTAGTAAAGATGAAGAAGAGGAGGTTACCTCCAGCTCAGATGGGTTTTTTAAGCGGTTGTTCCGTGATACTAAAAATGATTCAGAGGAAAAAGTGTTGTCCAAATCCATGGAAGATGATGAGAAGGAAGGATTTTTTAAGAAGTTCTTCAAGGAGAAATTTGAGGACAAGAAAGATGGGATTGAGAGGAATGACAATGAAGAGATAGTGACAAAGATCTCTGAAGATGATGAGAAAGAAGGTTTCTTCAAGAAATTTTTCAAAGAAAAATTTGATGAAAGGAAAGATGGGAATGGAAGGATTGATGATGGAGAAGAAGAAGAATCATCAGAGTTTTCGTTGTTCCGTAGATTGTTCCGTGTACATCCTGAAGATTCTAAGAGTTCAATGACAAATGATAACAGCAACGGTGGCAATTTGCTCGAAAGCAGCCCAGGAACGGAGAATTTTTTTCGAAAGCTGTTTAAGGATCGTGACCGTTCAGTGGAGGATTCTGAACTTTATGGTCTGAAGAATAGCACAGCGGTCAGTCCTAAATTATGCTGTTGTTGTGATAAGTTTGTGAAGTCCTGCTGTTTTAATTCATATAGATGCTTATCGTTGCTTACAAATATCATCTGACTTTCTTCATGTAAGCATCATTTAAGAGTTAATTCGTAATCATTTCTTTTCTTTTGATATGCTGCAATTTATATATTGTGTTCCAAAATGACTTGCCAGCTCCACTGAGGCCTGCTTGGACATTTAGCATTTTTGGCATTATTTATGTGTTGAAATATGTTTGCTATAAATATTTTGTGGGTGTATTTCAAAATAAATATAGCTGATGCTTTTATGAATACATTACTGTGATTAGAGCTTTAAGAACTGGAGCTGTTTATGGTATGGCGATTTTGAGAAGTATTAGAATTTTGAACTGAGTGCTATGAAATTAGCCTGGATAGTTCCGTTTAATTACTATTAACTTTTTCCTTAAGGGGGTGTTTGAGCCACATTATTTTGGTAATAATGCATTCTTGAATGGTGTATTGATGGGAAATGTGTGGTTAAAAAATAAGGAAATTTTTTTGATTTGCGTGTAATATTATTTTATTGAAGAATGTGTGGTTGAAATGATATCAAATTACTATTTAAGAATGCATTTTTTTGGAATAATGCGGCTCAAATAGGCCCTAGTTATGAAAATCTACCATACCTTTCCTGAATTCGTCTTGCTGGAAAAACGGAGGAAATAGAAGATAGGAAGAGAAGAGGAAGCAATGCTTCTGCATAAAAGTTATGCAAATTAATGAGGAGGAGAAGTCTGGTTAAACTGATCCTGCAGTATTTTTTCTTTTAGAATTCTAAACTAGCTTTCTATTTCAAAGAATATGTTTTGACTGAAGAATAGCTGTAGATGGTAGTCAATAATCTAACTTTATCTCAGTTTTTGTTTGAATTATTGTTTTCTCTGATGTTTCTACTACTTTTGCTTGGTTCAAAGAATGAATAGTTTTCTCATGTTTGTTATGATTGTTGTAAAGTGCATGGTTTCCCGGTCCAAAGAAAGACATATGGATTCTACTATTTTCTTTATACTGTTCACTCTTAGCTGTATGCTAAAATATATTTTATGATAAAGTTAAATCTGATCCTTAGACCTTCTAGTGCTTCAAATATTCTCGTGAACAAATATTGCTTGGCATTATTACCTTTGGAAGGAGACTTCTAGTAATATAGAGAGGAAGTGAGGGAGGTTTCTGACATCAAACATCAAGGCCAGAGATATGGAGAGGAGGAGAGAACAAAATATTGGGTGGTTTTGAGGAATGAGATAAAGAAAAGAAAAAATGAACTAAAGGTGGCGCATGAGTGATTCTGAATATGCTTGGATTATGTTGAGTAAATCAATTGGCTTGGTGACTTATAGATTATGGGGCTTACAATCAGGCTACATATATGCTTAATCCTCCTTTCCTCTTTTATTTATTGGAAATGTAGTGCTCTTTTATTTTGATGGAATCCTTCAAAATTGTTAAGCTAAAACATAAATATTCTTTTCCTGTTATTTAACTAATTATGTAGATAGATAAGTGGCATTTGTTCTTTGCGCCCTTATAATTGCGTTGTTGTGCCTCTACTGTGTGGAGCTACATGGATAGTACACTTGAGGACCTTCATTACAATTAAAATAGAAATTAGAAGTTTCCTTCAGCCAATAATGAAGGTCGCGCATTTTCATAGATTAGGGACTGGAGTTGCATAAACATGAAAGTTGAGAATTTGTATTTGTAAGATCCTTTTGTGCATTTGCAGTACTTTTTGATTATTAGTTTTGCACTCAAAAAGGAAGAGTAACATATTGTTTCCTGAACATCGAGGGTGCAAGGGTTAAACTGTGTCTACGCCTGTTCGAATTCTATGCAAAAAATAATTATAGCGGCACACCTGATACAGCCAAAAAATTCAGTGGTTTGACACATTCTTCTTCAGTAGTTGGGTATCATACCTGTATTTGAAATTAATGATTGAACTAAAGGACTGTCATAATGATGTGAGAATTTCAGAGAATAATGCATGGGATAGGTATTTTGGACAGTTCTGGATGAAGTTGCTAGGCTACAAGTTCAAATCTTTGGCGGATAACTTATGCTTTTGAGGGTGGAAATGTTTAAGTAATCTGGTTATAAATGAAAGTATTGCAGAATTCAAGGGATGTCTGAGGTTCTAAATGGTAGTAACTATGTCATGGATTCTTGTACTTTTATGGTGGCTAGAGGGTTCGGGATTGGTTTTGAAGTGGGGCCAGATGAGGACGCGGTTAAAAATGATCAAAGCAGTGGGGGATAACCCCTGAGCAGTACTCAGTTTCTGAAGTTTAAACTTATATAAGCTAACGAGAAACTGTTGTCCTAAGTATGACCTTCACATTGAGTTTTTTAAATGTCAATGACTTGATGTTCAGAATCAGAGAAACAAAATTAGTTGATAATGCCATGTTGCTGCAGCCAAGAAGAGAATCATCGATATGGTATAAAGCACTTTCTTGCGTAACATGTCACGAAATTTTTGAGATTGTTAGATGCTTGAAATCATTATAAGTTTCACAAGCCCTATGATTTTACTTGGAATAGAAAAACTAGATGCTACTCTAAGATACTTGGACAAATTGAAACATTATATAGCGTTGATGTTTGTATACTCAAATTTGTCCTAGTTCCTAGACCATCTAGGATTTATTAAAAAAACTGAAGTGCTCTGATTACAATTTTTTTTTTTGATAGGTAATCATTATTTAAAAGTAAATACACGGGGGGTGTACAATCATTTTAAGCCATTAAAGAACAACATGAAATTAGGCAATCCATCTACAGGATTTTTAGCCACAGCATTAAACCAAGAATACAAAGTAAAGTAAAATGTTTCTCTTATTTGCTCTCTTGTCTTTGTTTGGTCTTCGAAGCAACAGTTGTCATTTCTTTCCACACGCACCATACAATGCAGAATGGGATAAGGTGTCATGCTAGTTTGCTATCCTTATCACGAAGTTTTCTCTGCCATGCCCGTATCACGTCCTCTATACGACGAGGCATCACCCAATCCATAGATTGAGAATCAAGTATACTTTTTGAAATCCAACGTACACCATCACAATGAATGAATAAATGATTGATCGTCTCCCTTCCTTCTTGCACATATAACACCACTCGGTTACGTAGAAGCCTTTACGTCGAAGATTATCCACCGTTGAGACCTGTCCCCTCACAATTGTCCGCAATAAGAATGTCACCCGAGGAGGCAATTTACATTGCCACACCAACTTCCAGGGGAATAAATTATTCACACATCCCATGTGGGAATTAAAGTACGAGCGAACTGAAAAAATGTCATCTCGTGCTGTCCTCCACCCGATGCAATCCCTCTCTCCTACTTGAATTTGTGCGTCATGTAAAAAAGTCATAAACAACGAATAATCTTTCAATTCCCAATCCTGTAGACCCTTCCCAAACGTAATATTTCAGCTATAGCTCCCATTATGAATGTCTAAGAGATCACTCACCATAGCAGAGGGCAATGAGGCAATGCGGTGCAAGGAAGGAAGTCCCTCCTTCAGCGGTTGATCTCCGCACCAACAATCATCCCAAAATCTAATCTCATTACCATTTCCGACCACAAACTTTAGTTTGTTCAAAAAAGCACTCCATTCCCGTAGGATATACCTTCACAAACTCACCCCATAAGAACCACGATCTTCAAATGTACACTATCCCCCCTCCGTCACACCATACTTCGCCCCAATTATTTCTCTCCAGAAGCTTTTCCTCTCCACTCCAAATCGCCACAACCACTTGCCTAATAAGGCCTTATTCAACAACACAAGGCTCCTTACCCGAAGACCCCCATCCTCATCGGCAAACAAACAACTTCCCAATTGACCAAATGGAGTCTCCTCTCCTCCCCCAACCCTGCCCATAGAAATTATCTTTGAAGTCTCTCTAATCTCTTGGTCACTGCAATCGGAATGGGGAACAATGACAAAAAGTAAGTAGGGAGATTGGAGAGAGTGGATTTAATGAGAGCAAGTCTGCCTCCCTTAGAAAGGTATATATGCTTCCACCTTGCTAACCTTCTCTCCATCCTTTCCACAATACCATTCCAGATATGGGTACTTTTAAATTGTGCCCCCTAACGGGAGCCCAAGATATGACATCGACAGTTGCGCAACCTTACGACCCAATATGTTAGCCAGCTCATCCACATTATCGACCTCCCCTACTGGAATAGTCTCAGACTTCCCCAAATTGATTTTCAACCCAGACACCGCTTCAATCATAGGAGCAGACGGCTCAAGTTCCTGAATTGTTCAACATCTGCATCGCATAAGATCAGCGTGTCATCTGCAAATAACATATGGGACACCTGCAATTGGTCAACCATGAAACCCCTTATCAAACCCGCTCTTACGGCTCTTTTAATCATCCTACTGAAAGCCTCCATCACAGTGACAAATAACGGTGGAGACAATGGATCCCCTTGTCTCAAGCCTCTACTACTCCGGAAATAACCTTCAGGTGTTCCGTTGACCAAAACTGAGAATGAAACAGTAGAAATATATAATTGAATCCATTTACACCATTTATCCCGAAAGCCACAGCGTCTAAGCATATACAACAGGAATCCCCAATTTACATGATCGTAAGCCTTCTGAATATCTAGCTTACATAGCATCTCTGGGACCCTTAGACACATTCTTGAATCTACGCATTCATTCGCTATAAGTACAGAGTCCAAAATTTGACGCCCTTTTACAAATGCATTCTGAAACTTGGACACTACTTTTCCCAGCACCTTTTACAATAATCTTATACACCCTACTGACAAGGCTAATGGGGTGAAAGTCCTTAATATCAGTCGCTCCTGATTTTTTAGGGATGAGCACAATAAATGTAGTGTTAGAACTTTTTGGAATCTGCAACGTTCAAAAAAATAAGATAAAGTATTCATAATGTCCGATCGAACCACATCCCAGCACGCCTTGTAGAATGAGAAGCTCTGATTACAATTCTAAACCACATATTGTAGGAAAGCAGTTTTATCATTCTTAAAAGCCAATGTAATGTTAATTAAGATGCTAAACAAGTGGCAATTGAATTCTGAAATTGATACCGAATGGTCTGCCTCATGTTCCTTACGGGACCCCTGATACACTGCACACGAATCAGTTTATGTTTGGAGAAACATTTCAAGAGTTTATCTAAAGTTGGAGTTTAACAGATGCATGTCTATGGACATCCGAATACAGGAAATTTGTTTGGTAAGACGAGGTTTATGTTGGATTACATTAAAAAATGTTTATAGAGTTGCAAGGTTCCTGGAAGTAGATCTGGAAAACCTAAGCCATGTAAGAAGTGAGAATTTTGAAGCAGCGGATTGCATTATTCTTAGTTAAATCCTCAATTTAAATTACGAGGAAACAAAGTATGCAAGAGGAATACAATTTTTTTTTTCTTTGAGGGAAGAGGTATACAATTAAGAGCACCTTTATTCTGGAAAATTGGGAATTATTCTTCCGTTTTTTAATTATGCTTTCAACCCAGTAAGCTAAAAATGGTTTGTATCCTTACTCTTCTTTTCGTGTATATATTAAAACACACCAGTAGCTCTGCTTTTTCAGGAATTCTGCTGTCAAAATGGCCTCCCTTGCTGATGAACAAATGGGAACAGCTAACTTCTGAAGGGCTTCTCTCTCCCAAATGACCTCCCCTTCCTGGCCACTAGCTAGTCAGACTTGGCAGGATTTGCTGGAAAATAAACCATTTTAGTTGCTTTGTCATTAAATTGTGTAATTTAGCGAGTAACTTTGATCATTAGATCCAACCTTTGTTCTGGCAAAGCCTTTATAAGGTTCAGATACCATATTAACTGGTTACTGTTCAAACTGCATAGTTCACCTTTGGAATTAATTTTAAGCACACAATATGCTGTTGATGGCATGCTATATGCCTATATTTTGCGTATCTGTGATGTATTTGCTTGTGTAGGAGCTCTAGAAATTTTCAGATCAAGTTTCAAACAATTCATTTGTAGGGATGCCTGTTCATTTTTCTTCCTTCTTTGCCTTTCTTTTCTCAGGATCTCTTATATGGATTCACAATGCGACATGTGTTGCATAGACCTAAGAGGTCCCCTTTCATAAGTGCTACATGATCCCATTAAAATTAGATAGAAGAGATACACGGAGACCTAGACTATAAGTACGTTTGGAAAGTGTCTAAGAATAGTTTAAATTATAAATAGGTAGAAATGAGGAATGGAGAAGTGGACATATGGGTCCCTCAAAATGTGTTGATAGAAAGTGGCTTGAGTGTTTTTTAACAGTTTATAAACATGAGCCACACATGGCTTGAAACGGTTGGAATTATTTGATTTGAGTGGATCTTTCCAAATATGTAGCTTTTAATTGAAGGAAATGGTGAAAAAAAAGGCAGCAATGGTGAAAGAAAAACCAAGTAGCTGACTATAACTTCACTGGGAGTAAGAGTTAGATTGTTGTTCTCGTTTCTTATGTCTCCTTTTCTTTCTGTACATCTTCTTTCTAAGCTTCCTGCTTTATTATTAATAAGATTATATTCTTATGTACCAATCAAAAAAGATTATATTCTTATATGAAAAATAAAAAAGAAAAATGAAAATCTTTGCTTGACATTTTTTTCTTTCAATTTCTGTGTTGAAGAGTGCTTGGCATTACAATGGATTATTGGGTTACTTATTATAATAATGTTTCATTGACCAGAAATGTCTTGGCTCACCAAAGCAGCGAAATGAAAAGTCAAATGCTAAACCTCCGCTTCCAAATAATACCACTTCACAGTTTAGAAAAGGGACATATCATGAATCTCTTGACTTCGTGCAAAGGTTATGCGAGATATCCTACAACTTGGTTGACGTATTTCCTATTGAAGATCGGAAAAGTGCTCTTCGTGAGGTTACCCAATTTTCTTAATTTCTCCTGATTGCTTCAAAAAATTTTTTTCCCCTGTCCATCAACATCTTTCCTCTCTTTGCTAAATTTGTGAATTTTGCTGTTTCCAGTCTCTTGCAGAAATCAACACGCGTATACATGCTGCTCAAAGTAGTGGAGGTAAATGCCAGTATTTATGTGGATGGATGTTTGGTTCTATCAGATTCTTCTAGGACTATAAAAATTAGTATGGCAAGTTTGAGTACGAGGACCAAAGTTTTGAAACAGAAGTTTATTACATTTGTAGTTCCCTATATTTTGTTATGTCGGTCCAAAATTTGTTTTGAAAGGGTCAAAATAAAAATTAGTTTTTTTACTAGCTACTAATATCTCTGATATTATTTTTCTGATATAGTATTTTACAATTGTTAGCTACAGAGGGCTATCTTTAATTCAGTTTGCTTCCTGGTTGTGGTCTTTAATGAGGTAGCATGTTTGGAGAATACAAAATGGAACCAATTGTTTCTTGCAGCATTGGCTTTGTCATACTAGATTATTGTGCAGTTGAGAATGTTTGTTGAATCAACATGCTGTCTTTTATCGAGATAGAAAATTGATTTACGCTTATAGAGATTGAGCTATTGGAGATCCTTCAGTACAGGAATAAAAACAAAGATTTAATAAAGCGCCAATATTTCAACGATGAGTAGCACCAAGAGTAATAGTGGAGTACTTTGTTTGGGAGTTCTATTCATTTTGTGAAAAGAGAATCAAACAATAAATTAATGAATTATATTCTGAAATTCTCATATTTCTTCCTTGTTCTTCTACCTTGTTTTGTGTTTCTTACCGCGAAGCTAAAAATTCAACACAAACCATTTTGTTTTCAGCAATTTAATGTCCAAGCTTTATTCCTGTTAAGATTCTTAAGAATGTTCGTGAGAACATCCTTGCCATGCTCTCATCCTACATTCCTTCTGTGATACCACAGGGGTATGTTTTCCAATGGGGAAGGGTATGTATCGCGTGGTTCACATACCTGAAGATGAGGCTATTCTTCTGAACTCAAGAGAAAAGGCTCCTTACCTGATTTGTATCGAAGTCTTGAAAAGTGAATCCCCAAGGTGAGTTATGGTAATTTCATTAGTTATATTTAGTGACAACAAAGTCAATTCTTCAGTAATCATTGTAACGTGTTGGCCTTGACACTGATCATATAGTTGTGTATTTATATCTTTACAACTAGCAATTCAAAGGATGTGGCTAATGCTCAAAAGCTTTCAAAAGGAGGAATTCCTTTGGCAAATGGAGATGCACTGTTGCCAAAGCCTCCACCATGGGCTTATCCTCTGTGGACAGGACATGATATGTACCACAGTGGTTATGATAGGATGTCAAGTTCTACTTCTCAGGCGATAGACCAGGCAATGACTAAATTATGGGAGGCCAAAGTAAAATTTGTTCATGTGAATTTTACTGTGGAGCAGCAATCAGACCCTGGCCTCGAATTTTGTATTTCTCAATCTTTTTCTTCAAATGGTGGCCTAGTCAGTGAGGTTGGTTCTTATGCATCTGAAACAAAAGATGGATGTGATTTGGAACTGGTGAGAGTTGTCTTGACAGCTGATCCTGGGGTTAGCATGGATGACATAGTGGACCAAGATCCTCCACCCAGACGAAAAGAGCACCGCCGCGTTCCAAGTACTGTGGCTATTGAGGAAGTCAAGGTAACATGTTCATTTGTATCCTGTTAATCAGTCATATCTTCTTTACAATTGTCTTATTCAATGTTTGTATTTGCTATCATTAGTGCATATTCAATTTCAATTTTTCCGTACAGGCTGCTGCATTGAAAGGAGAAGCTCCTCCTGGACTTCCTCTCAAGGGTGCTGGTCAGGACTCTTCAGATGCACAGCCAAAGGTGATGATTTGTCCAAAGTTGAATGGCTTGTCTTGGCTTCTTGGCCTTAATTTTATTTGTAATTTACCAATTTTAAACAGGCTGTGAATGGGGGTGGTCCCAAAGTAGGTGATGCATTAGCTGGTGAACTGTGGGAGTTGAAGGAGGAGAGAATACGCAAAGCCTCAGTATATGGAAAATTACCTGGTTGGGACTTGCGTTCTGTAAGTTGCTATCTTGTCTTCTCTTCCTTTAACAACCATATTTTCTACATGATAATTTTCTGTTGGGGACTTGGAGTAATTTTCGAGTCTTTAAATTTTGGTTATTTGGTTTGCCAGTTTGATTTACTGAATAATATGGATTTACTTCTCTCTGTTGTCTGTTGATCATGGAAAATGCATTCCTGAACAGCTTGTAAGCTGTTTTCTCTTATTCATCAGAAGGTAGTTGCTCAATGTCTGTACTGTGATAAATTGTCAGTATATTAGAGGATATCTGATTTTGAAAAGATATCATTGGGTAATTGGAGATTTGGTTTGCTTGTCAAGGGTGATCATTAGTTTAAGTGTTGGCTCTGTAACAAAATTTATGATTGACTGCTTGATGTTTAGCATTTTGACGTAGTTCTTTTATGATTATTTTGAATTTGTTCATAAAGAACAAAAGAGTTAACAGAAACATGCTGGGGGCTATTATAAGCGAGGGCACTAAATAATCCAAAAGGTTTCAGTTTCTGCTGAGGTACCACTCTTGTATCAGTGACAGCTATTATGAAACTCAATCTCTGCAGAAACTCCAATGAACTGGTTACGACATTTGTGCTAGCTTAGAGTGCTCTCCCAAATTTCAGTCTGTTATGGTATAAGATAGTTAATAAATATATGGATTAACTTGCTGTTGGTGACATGGCCTCAAGTATCAGATATCCAGCTTATAGGTTGTTGGCCTGTTGCAGCTCTTTGGAGTGACAGTGTGGCAATCTCATTTTTACAATCTAAAGTTTCTCACTGATGGATCTAGGATGATCTCCAGGGAATGTGGTGCTTATGGCAGCAGAATTTTGTGGATGGTTAAAGTTTTTATATATTGACTTCATTAGTTGTGCATCAGCTGGTTTGGACTTTATTTATCATGAAACCGTTCAATACCCTATTGCACTTTTTTTTTTATCAAATTGTGGAACTCATTGGATGTTAGAAAGGCAATTACTGCTTGTAATTTGTAAATTCTTGCTTTATTTTTGTCAATTGATTGTTAGTCTATGCCATCGTTTTCTACTCATTTTATCGTATTTGTCTGCATTATTATGTGATCTGCAATTTCAATATTGTTTCTGCACCAGCTAACTCATTCTAATTTTTTATTTTTTTTATTAATTATTATTTTTTTATTTTTATTTTTTCAGGTAATTGTTAAAAGTGGTGATGATTGTAGGCAGGAACACCTTGCTGTACAACTTATTTCTCACTTTTATGGTAGGTGTCAGATGCTTTATGAGAGTGGTTAGATTCCAATTACTTGTTTCATTTTGTTATTTGTGGTGTTTATGCATCCACTGTTAGTAATCTTTATCATGGCTCCCTGTCAAAGTTAGATACATTCTTAAGTCGCGATTCAGATTGAGTATTGGAGGCAGCTACAAGTTTGAGGAATGATTAATTTGTTTAGGGAAGGTCATATACCTTTTCTAGTAATTATATCTTCTCAATAGCAGTGTGACGTCAGAGCATTTTTTTTTATCATTCGCCTCTGTTTAACAAATTTTCCATGCAAAGGTCTTAAACTCCCTGCAGATATGAGTTAATCTATCAATTATGAGTTGTCTACCAATCTCACAAGTAGTGACTTCCAAAGATATCCAGAGGTAAAACCAAATAAGTTTTATGAGGTCATTAGATTACACCTCACCTTTTCCAATAATTTCAGAGTATGAGATGTGAGCTATATAGCTCTGTAATTCATATCATCTTGAATATCTCTTTTATTATTATAGATATATACCATGTAACCATGATACTCTACCTCTTTTTATTCAACATTTTTCACAATTTAACATCTTATCTGACGATTTTGTGAAACATAAAAATATTATTTCGCCCATGAACATCATACTTAAGTAAGGTTCCTTTTGGCCAATTTCTATTTGTTTTTGTATTCTTCATGGCCTCCCACACAATTTATGGTTCTCCTTTTGTACACAATTTTACATGTATTAAAAGATTTAATATAATACTAGTATACTACTGTCTATTTTTAATAAAAGAACTGTAGTTGTCATTTAATTTAAAATTCTAGTAGTCAGTTATTTAATACTATGCCCGTCTCGGGGGAAGATTTTCACCAGATTTTAATCCAAATTTGGACTGTTGGAAATGTAGGTAGGCTCCTTCTAGCTGTAATTTCTGACTAAACATTTGGTAAATTATCATAATTGTCCTTTCAAACAGAGTGAATTAAATGTCAGAAGGGTACATTGGTAATTCTGCAAAATGTAGTCAATTAGTGCGGTTCCTTTTCAAAATATAGCGGTAACATTTTGCATTAAAATTTGTTGATAATTGATCCCAGATAGGTGCTATATGTATTTTCAATAATAAGATTAAATTGTAAAGTTATATATATTACATTGTTAGTTAATAAATATTATTTATTTTCAGAAGTTATTGATAATAACAATAGTTATGAGTAAACAAATTTATCATCTATTTTCAATGATAATATAATGAGTTTTAAAAGAGTTTATAACTAATAAAATTCTTCTTCGCACGTTCTAAGGTGTTCAATAAGTATTGAAAATTTAAAAAATATAAAATAATTAAAAAGCATATATCTGGTACGTATCAAAGAGTGTCCAAGCATATCTAATCTTGGATAAGTGTATATAATAAGTTTACAAGTTTTTGGGCGCCCTAGACAACAATGTGTCATGTCAGTTATGAGGTACACCCTAGCTTATTTTGGCTCTATTTTATTTAGGGCTGAATATGGACCGATTTGGTTTGGAACCGAACCGAACTTGAATTTTTGGCTATTTAGTAAATGGAACCGTCAAGTCCAAATTTAATTATGGAATTGTTTGGGTTTGGTTCCATTCGGTTTGGTTTGATTTCTAGGTTCCATACAATAATTAATTTTTTTAATTTAACGCTACATTAATTCAATTACCGATATGTTCAATTTTAGTTCTTACAAGATAATGTAGTCCAATTTTATGTATTTTTTATGCCTCTCTTTGTTGAGTTCTTTATAGATTTAATTGTTAAAATCACAGGGAGATGAAGATAGCAAGCTCACAATAATGAGTGTCATGTCAGTTATGAGGTACACCCTAGCTTATTTTGGCTCTATTTTATTTAGGGCTGAATATGGACCGATTTGGTTTGGAACAGAACCGAACTTGAATTTTTGGCTATTTAGTAAATGGAACCGTCAAGTCCAAATTTAATTATGGAATTGTTTGGGTTTGGTTCCATTCGGTTTGGTTCGATTTCTAGGTTCCATACAATAATTAATTTTTTTAATTTAACGCTACATTAATTCAATTACCGATATGTTCAATTTTAGTTCTTACAAGATAATGTAGTCCAATTTTATGTATCTTTTATGCCTCTCTTTGTTGAGTTCTTTATAGATTTAATTGTTAAAATCACAGGGAGATGAAGATAGCAAGCTCACAATAATGAAGAGAATCGTAATCGAGCTTTCAATTCGATTTCTCTAGAAGTGTAGAAACGACAATATGGTAGAATAATAAATTTGGATAAAATTTAGGTCAATTTGATAAGTTGGGCTTGGGTTGGAAATTAGAATAGGAAAATCATATTTTGGGTTTGGGCTAAATTAGTTAGCTAGCAAATTTATTTAGAAAAAAATAAAATAATTTGATTTATTTAAGATAAATAAATTTTAAAAAAACTAAGGAGATTCAGTTCTTATTCAATTCTTCGATTTTTAGTCCATAATCGAAAATCAAACCAAGTCTATCGGTTTTCGATTTAGATATCCATCTGGGTATTTAACTTAAGAAGAACTACTCGATTTGGTTCAATTCAGGTCGAGTTCGGTCCGGTACATCCTAAAAAGAGGCAGAGAAGAATTCTAGGGATAAGATGTAGACAAGGTTTTAGGTTGGCTATCAACCTATTGCAAGTCGCCTCCATTATCTTGGTTTAAGACTTGCTTTGGGAACATGTGTTCATCTTCATAATGCATATTTTTGCTCTTTTAAAATTTATATTTGAGAAATTCCTAAAAGAAATCTTTCCGTGAGATTCGGTTGTCTATATATTACCATTAAAATGCAACCGTTGCTGTTGTATTTTTGGTGATTGAATGTAACAGAAGACATTTGTTAATCGAGAAAGCAGTCAGTGGACGCTAGTGGTTGTACACTCACCTCTCCTTAAAACCACAAAAGAACACTGAGCTTACAGTTATATACCCTTCTGATTGTCTGTGTTTCAAATGGAATTCTGTTGTCCTTCAAAACTTGTATCATAGTTTAATTTACTTTTGATTCAAATTTTATGAACTGTAAGATGTCTGTCTCCATGTCAATTTATTTACTTAATGACCATGTGTTGGAGTTGAATTACTTATCCATTTCTGATGGGTGGGATGTGCAAAAACTTATCTTGTAGCCCGACTTGCGTCTACTTTTTTCCCTTTGTTCATTGGTATGGTTTGATGACTTTTCTTTGTTATTTCTTAACTGCTAGATATATTCCAGGAAGCTGGTCTCCCATTGTGGTTGCGTCCTTATGAAGTTTTAGTTACATCCTCTTATACGGCACTTATTGAAACTATTCCCGATACGGTAACATCTTACATTGTCTTGGTAGAGTAAGTGCATATCTGCATAGCTATGGCTGAACTTATTTGTATTATTGTTTTAATACCAGGCGTCACTTCATTCCATCAAAAGTAGATTTCCCGATATTTCAAGTTTACGTGACTTTTTTGTTGCCAAGTATCAAGAAAATTCTCCGAGTTATAAACTTGCCCAGGTAAATGAATCTTGAATTGTAGTTCTTTGTCTCGTCAAAAATCTTTGTTTTTTCCCATTCTTTGTCTATATTGTCATACATCAGTGATGTGTCTCTATTTGCTTCTCGTTATCAATTCATGCATCATCGTACTTTATTTTTCTAGGTGGAGAGTTGCAAGTCTGGAATCATATCATAATTTTTAAAATATGGAAATAGCTCAATTCTTTTTGCTGCAGTTTATTGGTCTAGCAATTTCAGTTTATAAACATTCACGATCTCATTATTTTTAGTCAAAGAAGGCAATTTGATGTCTAACATTCTTTGTATCATGGGAAGATTATAGTTATCAAATAATCCTATCACTGACTAGGTCAAGGCATTGGCTTAATGTACGCAATCCTATTACAAATAGGGTATGGATTATTAATTGTTGTACTAGGATTTTATTTCTTGTTCAGATTAGGTGTTTTTTTTTTTTTACCTTATCTTCCTTATATTATTAGGATTAAGTTATTATTTTGTCTATATAAACAAAGGCTTTGTGTACACTTTCACTACCATCAATTTCTTTATAATCAAATTATTTTTTACAAATTTTCGAGTTTTTCAAACTTTGTTCTTGTTTCAAGAATTTCAATTTTGCTTGCACCAAAATTGGTACAAGAGCAAGGATTTTCATCTGACCTGCTAACTAAGGATGATACTAGTGGAGTCGAAGCCATTGACGGCATAGGTTTTAAAACATTAATCACTGACTTTTCTTGCTCGAAAAAACTCTTCAAGATGTTCAGCACACCTTAGCTCCATTAATCACTGAAGTTATGCGTGATGCCGAAGGCAACAACTAGGTCACAATAACATCGTTGGTGACTCATATTCCAACAAGCTTTTGATGGATGATGAACAATCGTGAATAGAACACATAGAATTCGTGGCGCATAAACCTAGGTATCCTTGACCTCTGCCAATCGACAACCCATCCTTGTGTCCTAGTTGTAAACTTATGTATCGTCCACTTTGAGAGAGTCTAAGCCTATCTTATCTCCTATGACTTTTTGTCACTTCCCTATATTTGAACTTAAGATCTTTGTCTTATGAAAGACTTAAGTTGAATTCTAGTACCAAATAGAAAACTTTTGTAATGACCCGAGACTTGTGCTTAAGCCATTATATCATACATACTGTCCGCTTTGGATAAGCCTCTGTCATTGTACCTCCTAAAGCCTTTCTATCGCAAATTCCATATTCGAAAGACTTGAGTTGAATCCTATTACCAATTGAACAAGTACGTATGATATAACAACTTGGGCATGTTGAGAATAAAAAGTCATCGGATACTCTTACCATTGACGTGGACGAGGCATTGGGTCACTACGTCAATGGTTTATTTGGCTCACTAGTTCAGCCACTAGGTCACTTTAATGGTAAGATTAAAATTTAAGGTACACTACCAGTTAAGCACTAAAGAAATTATGTTAATCTTAGCTGAAATACATATTTTCAACTACAAGTTCTCCAAAAAAGTCATTTTCACATCTCTTCATAACTTTTTCCCACTTTTTAACCACACATTCTACAAAAAAATCACTTTTCATATAATCACTTTCATACAAGCACAAGATATCCATCGACAGAGATTTAATAAACAGTTTATTTTAAAAATTTTACATGATTAGTCAAATCTTAATTTCACACACAATACGTGGCGACAAAATTCTCTTGAACTTCTTTAGATGAAAATAGTAAGGACTTGCAATAAGTTAAGAGTAATATAATAATATACACTTCGTGTAGTTCCTTATTTTTCTGTATACGATAGTTGAAGTTATGTATTTCCTAGTTGAAACTATTACAACTAGTTACAGTAGTGCAGCGGTAAGGTGCTTAAGGAAGCTGAAAAGGTAACTAACAGGCACTAGATTCAGAATTTGCTTGAAGGATGGAGAATTAATTTTTGCTATCTGATCTTGTTTAATGAAACTTGGTCGTGGGCTGTCTCTAACCTGTAGATATTAGACGAGTTCTACTGCAAACCGGTCCAATTTAACTACTTGGTCTGGGCCCCTGACTCATATCCGCTTCTCTGGCTTCCAACTCTCGGTCTGGTCTGGCCCTGGATAATATTGTAAAATCTAGATTCAGAGGATCAATGCGGCTTGTTTTTATGCTAGAAACTAAATTGTTTCGATCTGGTTTCTGTTTATGGTGTTTCTTCTACATTGTTGGCCAAATGTTTTGATCTGACTCCTTTTCTAATTACATGGTCCTTTAGCCACACCTTAAACTATTTTGTCTTGTTCTTTACAATTAATATTTTTTTTTCCATAAAAGAGTAAGTTTATGGGGCATCTTCTCTTGAATGAACTTCAAATTTCTTGTTTTGAATCATCCTTGCAGAGAAACTTCGTGGAAAGCATGGCTGGGTACTCTTTAGTTTGCTACCTTTTACAGGTGAGCTCCTCTCTCTTTGGATTCCTAACATTTTTCGTGTGTGACTTCAAGTTGTCATTTATGTTGCAGGTGTGGTATTTGGGAGAATTTTCTTATCATATGAAAAAGTTTCCAGCAGTACCTATTTACTGAAATTTGTATTCTGAATTATCTTGCTCTGGCATTTTCTTGGTTGCAGTGTTAGCAATACAATTTGAGCATGATGGAATTTTAAACTAATTTATATCTCTTTCAATTTTTAACATTCTCAACATGCTGCCTTATCTAAGATGCCTCTCGTCTTTAGGTAAAGGATAGGCACAATGGAAACCTCTTGTTGGATGAAGAAGGTCATATCATACACATTGACTTTGGCTTCATGCTTTCTAATTCACCTGGTGGTGTAAATTTTGAAAGTGCACCATTTAAATTAACCCGTGAACTTCTTGAGGTAAGTCAGTATGACCTATGCTAGGCAGAGTTAATATTGTATCATTATTAGAATCAGCATGTGTCCACCACTGCAATTTTTTATTTTTCATTTCCATAGTATACCTACTTTGGTTTTGTTCTAGGTGATGGACTCTGATGCCGAGGGAGTTCCAAGCGAGTTTTTTGATTATTTTAAGGTGGATATTAGATTTACTACCCTTTACTTCTGGGAAGTTTCTTCTCATATTGCTGGTGTTCATTGCTGACATTAGTCCTGTGATTTCAGGTGTTATGCATTCAAGGTTTCCTCACTTGTCGTAAACACGCAGAACGCATAATTCTTCTTGTTGAAATGTTGCAGGTAAGGTGGTAGAATGTTTGCGACTTCCACAACTTTTCCTTCTGTTGACTGTTCAATTCATTTAAAGATATTTAAATTTGATTTCCTAGTAGAAGAGCAACTGGGATATAAAGATTGGAGTTGGAGAATAGTGATTCTGTTGGTGCTTTAACCTCTGTCCCATAACATTTAGGTTCTAAGTGAGTTATATTCACTGAAGGAAGTATAGACCTTGATATTCTGGTTGGACAAGTGATTCGTGTTGCTGGTTGGTAAAGAAAATTAAAGTTTAAATGTATTGTCGTTCTTTACTTTCTTAGCATAATGTGGTTGAGTTTATCTGATGCTTGCAGAAGTAACTGCTTTTGGGGTAAATCTTTCTCTTTTAGCCGATCCATTCTTATTTAGAAAGAAGAAAAATATATTGAAACCTCAAAGGCTGTCTTCTGATATAGAGACCTTTCTTTCGCTCTCTGTCTCTCTGAAGCTTAAAACTTAATGAGCATGTACACCATTAGATGATCTGCAGTCCTCGAATTGCTCCAGGAGTAATAGTGCAAAATGTACTTCAAATTTAGAAACAATCGCATGTATGATGTCAGTCCATAAATTGTGTTCTGTGAACTGTGTTGAATCCATAGCATGCAAGTGATTCGCGAAGAAGAGCACTATGTTATCCTCCTTGACAAGAAATGAGAGATGGCTTACTAGAGAGCTCCAAAACTTTCCGACCTCTATTTTGGAGATCTTAAGAGGTTGGAAGATGAAAATAGGGGGGATATTAAGCAGCACTATGAGATTGTGTGTTTCAATTCAGGAAGCGTGGAAACTCCATTTCTGAGCTACTTTGGCCACAGAACAATCTTTGATCCAAGTCTACAACTAGGGCGCTCGGTGTGATTTCTTTTGATAGATGAGGAAAAAAAGTTTTCTTCTTGCAATTATAGTGACAGATCATCTGTAATACATGCTCATGGATCAACTGGATGCACTATAATGAAGTAAAAGTTTCCCCTTGGGACTGGCATGTATCTAAGTTGAGGGGAAGCTGGCAGGCAGTTTCTGGTTAACTCTGTATGAAAGATGCTTTACGGACAATTTGCAATATTCTTTATGTCGTGAGTTGTACATCTAGGTCAGTTTTGCAAGTTTAGAAAAGAGAAAACAGAAACAAGAGGTGCTGTATTGTTTGTTAAGATATTGAAAAAGAAAAAGAAAAAAAAAAGGTTTGATTCTATTTCTCGGGGGAAGAGGGAGTGGAGAGTGGAGGAAACATCAGCTAGTTTTCATGTTGTGGAAAATGTTATGATTTAATGCAGGGATTAGCATAATTCAACCTGACCCAATCGAACTTAACAAAACCATATCCCGTACTTATAAGCTAAAGAATATATTTTAAACTATTTTGGCTGCTTCTGATTCATTGCTTCAAGATTCTGGTGATCTTTTCAATAGTGTTTCTAGCATTTCCATTTTGGATATGCTGAATAGAATAATGAAAAACTAATCCTTTTATTAAGAAGTCCTCTACAGGTGGTGATCCTTTTTACTCCATTTTTATTTAGAGATCTTGCTTGTATCAGCGATTATTTTTAATTGAAGAGTCTGACATAATTCCAAAATATATGATCTTCAAGCCTAGAGTAGGAAACTGATTCTTGCAGTGGAACCTAAGTTTCTTGAGAAAAGTCTTGGCTTCTCGTTTTAGTTGAATTCACTCATTTGAAGTATTTGCAGTGACATTTATTTTGCAATTAATGAATAGTTTGAATTTTTGAAGGTTTAATTAAATTGTACAGGCCAGTTATTTGTTGTTTAATTAGTAAAACCTGGCTCAAATTAATGCGCGTTTTGCTGAGAAAGGTCCATATATTTTCTGTTTGCTGGCGTTTTTCCCCATCCAAAATGCTTGTACATGAGATCTAACAGAAATTTCTTCGCTTGATTTTAGTATGAACATAATCCTAGTGATTCTTTGCTTGTATCAGGATTCTGGTTTCCCTTGTTTTAAAGGTGGTACACGAACAATACAGAACTTGAGGAAACGATTTCATCTTTCTTTGACAGAAGAGGTTTGATAATTCATTTATTTATTTTTTACTAGTTTATCATTTTTTAACGATTGTCCTTCATGGGAGTTGGTTGGTTCCTACAGCAATGTGTGTCCTTGGTGCTTTCTCTGATTAGCAGCAGCTTGGATGCATGGCGAACGCGGCAATATGATTACTATCAGAGGGTATTAAATGGGATATTATGAGGATAGATTGAATTACTGGTTGACCCTAGATGACAGTTGACTTGGCAAACCATTATATGATCCTGAACTCTGGTTGGAAAGAATTTAAGGATCTCCTGGATGTGTGTGGTTTGATGATAACAATTTTGTTGCCAGTTACTGTCGGATTGAGGAATCAATTATTTGATCTTGGAAATGTTATTATAGGAGGGTCTACCTGTTGAAAACTCACTTCAGGAGAACTTTTGTTTTACTCATTTTCTTTCTTTAAGATAATCGACTGGCTGGAGTGGTATTCCCTTATTTGAGGGAGATGTCAATTACTTGAGAAACTATTTTTGCTGTACAGAGTGATTTGAAAGTGGAGATGGAAGCTATACTAGACGCCTGTTGGGACTTTGATTTAACATGTTTTGAGTTTCTGTGGTCATCGACGTTGCAAAAAAATTTATAATCTCGTATTCCTGCAGTCTTCAGAAAGAAAATGCTCGGATGTACAAGGTGCAGTTTGCTTTTTGCTCCTGGATGCCCATATTCAACTTTTGAGACATCAAGCTCTGATTCTTTTTTAGTTGCCTGGGTTTAATGTTAAAAGAACATTTGCTTGTATTGTGTATAAAATTACAATGAGTGGTGTTCATGTATACATCAATTTGTCCATGGCATAAAGTGTGCAAATTTGATGGTTTCTATTATATATTGGGTACTGCACTCTGATTCCACATGCCAAATTTGTTGGATATTGTATATCAAACATGCTTCTAAGCCATTATAGACTGAGTTTCTCAAGTGATATTTGGAGTTAAATGTTTCAATAATCACTCAACTTATATCATGGTCAAAATTACTAACTGAACTTCAAAGTGTTTCACGGTGCTTACTAAATTTTGTTCGTTCCTGCTATACATTCATCATTTGTTAGATTTCGTTCTTCTCATTGTGGATGTCAAATGGAAGTTTCATGTGGCAAGTTACGATGGCTAAAATTTTTTAACTTTGTTATTCAACTAAAATATTTAATTGCACCCAATTTATCTTATGGGGTTACGGTTTTATTATTAAATTTTAAAATGCTTTTTAGTGGTTACTTATCTATAAGAGTTGCATTGCATTCATCATATTTTGTTCCCTTCGTAGTTGATGGGTCGCACGAAAATTTCACGTTAAAAGTTATGATCATTAACTCACCAAAATTGCACGTGACCCTATAAACTCCTGTAAGTCCCAATAGCTTGTCCCCAATTTTCAGTCCACAAAAAATTGTAGCTTCCAATTCACTCTCATCTATGTACGATTAAATTGTGTACTAAAATAAGAATGATTGTTGAGAAGAATGTGGGGGAGCTACTACTTTTAAAGCACTATCACTCAACACTCAACAGTACCATCTGCCTAGCATATCCCTAATCTCAATCTTCCATTTTTGCATGCGTGTGTCTAACTATTTGAGGAAGCAAATGTCATCAATTTTCGATCATATTGAGGAATGAAGAACAAAAAAACATGAGCACTACCTAGAGGACACATTAACAATACACAAGTTGTTGAAGTTCGATGACATTTCCTTCCTTAAACGGTAGAACACTTGCCTGCAAAATGGAGGATGTTGATTAGAGGGACATTGGGTATGTTGTACAATTGGGGGACATAACTTTATAAGTAGTAGTTTCTCATGTCCTCAATAATTGGGGATGACTTTATAAATAGTAGCTTCTCACGTGCTCCTCAACAATTGACCCTGTCTCGATACACAATTTAGTTGTACGTTGGTCACATGAATGAATTGAGGTAGGGATCTCAAACGGGCTGAGCGGCTCGTCGATTTGGCTGCTCGGCTCGTCAAAACCCCACTCGTCGACGGCTCGAGCTCGTCCGAGCCGAGCAGAGCAGGGGCTCAATCCCACGAGCGGCTTGTGGGCTTGTCAAAAAATATTAATTTTTTTTTTTAAAAAATGTCTACCCAAAAAAAAATTAAAAAATCACGAGCTCACGAGCGGCTCGTGAGCTCAGCTCGTCTTCCACGAGCCACGAGCCACGAGCTCGGCTCGCCACGAGCCCGAGCCGAGCTCGTGGGTTAAAGGGCATCACTAAATTGAGGGCTAAGGTTTTTTGAAATTAAGGATGAAAAATTGGCTTCAAAAAGTTTATGGAGTTGTGGAAGTCGGGTTTCACATATGGTGATATTGAAGAGTTTGATGGTTAGGTTGAATTGTAATTTTTTTAATCGTCTTAAGTTGCCATGTGAAATTTTCATGTGATAAATCACAACGAAGAATTTGACGGATGATGAATGGAGTGTAAGTCTAAAATATGAATGATCATTGAGAAGCATTTTGAATTTTGATAAGTAAAACATGATTATAGTACAAGTTAAGTGAGTAATGAAACATTTTACTTGAATGATTTGGCCGAGTTATAATTTTTTTAATGATCGTAACTTATCATTTAGGATTTTCGTATATCACATCATCAATGAGGGAAACAAATTTGTGTATAATAGATAAAGTGTAAACGAGTAAAATTCAGTGTGCATTATGAAGTACTTTGAAATTTATTGAGTAGACCGTTACCATGGTATAAGTTGGATGATTATTAAAATATTTCACTTTGATATCTGTTATAAGTTGGATGATCATTGAAACATTTAACTTTGATATATGTTCGCTCTATAACTTTTTTCGTTTGTAAAAGTAAAACTCAAGCCAGTATTATTTAAAAGTTGAATCAATTTGTAAAATACAATAAACACAATAATAGGGTGGTAAAATTTACATAAATTAAGCTATATTTACATTCTTCGTTGACATTCTCACTATCATCTTCATATGTTAAAATTTGTACGGTGATGTGAAAGATTGTTGTAATAATCAAGCTACCTTGCCAAGGAGGGTTTGACACCTCGATAGGGTACTCACAAATGGGGTGGGGGTGCACTTTTTTGGGTATTTTTTATTCACATGGTTCTTAAATGGGGCCCACATGAATCTCAGTGTATGTCGACCAACATGTCAAATACATTCAGATAAAAGAGCTTTATACTTGTTGTAAAAATCAATGGAGATGATGGATGTTATGTGTTAGAATGTCAAATTTAATGTCAAGTAGAATGTACATGTAGCAATTTATATTTTCTCTTTACATTTTACTCTATTGTATACTTTGATTTTATTTTTTCCTTTTGTTTGGAATAAGTTACATTTTGTTTCTTTTGAGAAAAAGAAAAAGTGAAAAAAAGGGAAATCCAGCTCATCTCCCCACTATTGTGTACCACTGCCACTGCTCCTCAGATTCCTCACCGTTCTTGTTTCTTAACAAAATATTCCCCGTGAAATCCCCCAAATTAATTCAAGAATCCCAATTTCTATTACGATTAAAGAATCTGTTACAGTTTATCAAATGTAATCTGATTTCAAATCCTCGTTAAAATGTACAATTCCAACCGAATCAAGTCTCGCCACCAGCAGCGCCGCCGTGAGCCACCTTTGCACAGCCGCCGTTCCTGGTGTTGCTCCTTCACAACTCCACCGCTTAGTCCGGATAACCCTGGTGCAGCCAACCTCTCCCGTTCCCAGTCTCTCCGATCATACCCAACTTCGTGTAAGAACACTGAGATACCCTTATCAAACAAGTCAATCCCCAACTCCCCCCAGGCCCAGAAGTTGACCCTCGCGAGACGGATCCTCTCTCCGGGTCGGGTTTCTCCCATATCGGACAAACCGCATTCAGAAACCACCCCGAAAATGACCCAAATAACCCCTAATTCTCCCAAACTACCCCTACCCAGTGGTTCCTACAGCCCAGTAATTGACACAAAAGATGATGGACATTCGAGAATTTTCGATGTGAGGTTGAATCTGAGGGGGAAGAACGGGAAATCCTTGATTCTGGAGCTCATTTCGGAGGTTTTGATCGAGAACAGCATGGTTTTTGCAGATTTGATTACTGATTATAGAAAGAATATGAGTGGGCCGTGTAGGATTGAAGTACCTGACGTGGAGAACTTGAATGTTTTTCGTGAAACAATTGAGCTCATGTTTGATGAGGATATTGAAAAGAAGCTCCTTAAGGTTGGAGTTTTTCGGGCTATTGATATACTCGAGGTATTGTCTTTCATCTTGGAAATAGAAGGATTCCTATTTTCTTGAATTTGATGGATATAGCATCTTCATTCTTGTTATAATGCAATTTATATTTGTTTGTGGAATATTTTATTTTCGCAGCTCGTATGGGTTTGATATTACTTATTAATATGTGCGATGAACCATTTATATGTCATATTACTGTTAGGTTGTTTCTTCTATAGAAATTAATTCAACAAATAAAAGGGAAAATGGGTTGTGTGGATGCATATAAATTCACATTCTTGGGTTTGAAGATAAACTTGGTTTGCTTAAATTTCTGAATGGGTGGAGGTGGGGGTGGGGGATTGAATAATATTGGTAACAAATCTTGTATCAAGGATATGTAGAGGATGCGCAACTTTCCATGTAGTAAAGATTTGCACTTCTTGATCTTGATGGCATTTGTTATCTCCATAATTTCCCCCTCCCTGTTTCTTTTTCGTGCCTGTGTTTGCAATGTGAAGGGTACATTTGCTCTTGTTATTGTGTCATCTATGAGAGTAGAAATTATTACTCAAGACAGTTCTTGTATTTCTTTAAAGTATTTATTATGGGACAAAAGAAATTAGGAAGTATTTTGAAATCTTGTGGTTCCTTATTAATAGGGTTGATTTATAATTAATTGTTTATGAATGTTCATGAATATACAGCGGTAGGGATATCGATGACATTTTAGGTGGCCAAAATTTTTAGAAGATGTGTATCCATTTAGGTACTGTCAAGTTTTATCAGGTAGGTGGTTTGATCTTGTACCAACAACCAAACTGAGAATTCTGCAACTATGGTTTAGGTGTTTGTGAAACATAAATCTCTTTATAACCAGCAGTCGAAACATTTAAGATTGCATTTGCCATGGCAGTGGTGGACATTAGAGTTGGTTTATATTGCTCCTGGTCCAGCTGTGAGGTGGGAAAGTGTTTGAAATTCATATAAAATGGTTTATGATTCCAATTTCTCGACTTTTTGGGTGGTGTTAACTCTTTCCTATCATCCTTTTACCTTCTTTTGTTACGTGTTTCCCTCAATTAGTTCCCTGCCGGAAGGGAGGTGGGTGTGGAAGGGGAGTTATTTGATCTAGTATGGTGTTTTGTTAACATGTTCAGCATCCTGTAATGACTTGATAGCTTCAACAACAGCACCTTCCACAAATTCTTTATATGAAACAAGAGAAATATCCGCGAGGCAGTGATCTATTCAATCTCCGTCATTAGTATGAAGTATCAAAAATATGTATTCTGTCTCTCCCTTGGAGCCACTGGTACCAAGAGGTCCAAATAGCTATAGTTAGACAAAATTATAAACTTATGCCCATCTTTACTTTTTCTACTTATTTTTTGGACCCTGTGTGTATACATTTTTGACAAGAGTTAAAAGTAGAATTGTTTTCGGAATTCCTCTCTCAACACATAAGATACCTCAATTGTTTCTATCAATCTTGCTCTATATCGTTAATATCAGGATTTCTAACAGCCTCATTTGCTTGTACCATTAGGTATCAGAAGGTATCAAGTTTGGCAGGGGTGTTTCTTCATGTTTGAAGTACCTTGAAGCAGTGCCTTGGACTGAGGAAGAAGAGGAGAAGCTGAGAATTTCGTTCTCCAAAATTAAGTTTGATGATGGTACTGCGACAGACATCTTAGCTAGACTCTGTAGTCTCGGTTCCATTGATTCC